TTAATTTGTTAAAATTTCCAAACGTTAACGATTTCTTCCCATGAATTTATACATCATTAATTGAATAATAAAAGTGTACGGTCATAAATTAAGTTATCAGCCTATCGGATTTTCATCACGAATTGAAGGGAGACTTTGGAGAAACAGGGGGCGTTGCAAGAGAAACAGGGTGGAGTAGCGAAGCAGTCCACGATTTTTGTCGGATGAGCAGCGGGAAAGCCGAGATCGCGAAGAGGCGAGAGGGCACGCGTGAAGGGTGATTGACTGTTGGAGCAATTGGGAAGTACGATATTTTGATTTCTGGGTCAACAGAAGATTGAGAGAAAAGGGAAGGTCCTGGAAGGAGTAAGAAGGAGAATGGAGGCTGGAAAAGGAGAGGGACTCTCTTGTTTGATGAAGAAAGGAGATAAGTGACGGTGCTTTTCGAATCTTAGTGGGCAACAACAGGTAAGCTGTTGTTGGCTTGTTTCTTATTTCGACCATTAGCAATTATAATGAATTTCCGACATGATTCTGTGATTGAATTCAAACAACGAATGATATTTTTTTGGTAGTTCAGAGTTCGTTTTCGGAGTAATGCACCAACTGTTCGATGAATGACCTATTAGAAATGGTAGAAGTTGTTTGATTCCTTTATAATTGAACTAATTATTTTCATCAAGTTCTGAATGAAACCTGATTGAGACCCAGGATTCTGTGGGTTTTGAGTGATTTCATTTTTTATCATTATTTTTTTCTTTCTTTTTCTTCTTTTTTAAGGAGGTTTTTTGGCTCTTGTATAACTTCTTTCATTCAATGTCTAATGACATTTCTTTTCTAATCATTAAAAGAAAATCTCCTCCAAGGTCACTAAACCCTGATCATTCTTTTTCCCCTAGCATTTGTAATATGCCATAGCCGAAACTGAACCCGCTCCGTCTTTATAGAATCGCTCACTTGCCCGAAATACCGCATCTTCATTTGTCTTCTTTTCCTTGGTACAGTACAACCCATCACCGTCATCGAGCTCCTTATGTCGACTGGACCCGAGCCCGTTGGGCAGGATGATCTCGAGCTCCTCGCTAGATGCAAGTTTTGAACTTGAACCTCCGATTTTATGTTCTTTGTCCTCGAAGCCGTCGATTAAACTGCCGAGCCGGTCAGGCAGTTTGAGCTTGTCCTTGAGTATTGTAGTGATGCCGTTGAGTAAGTCAGAGTGAGGTCCGAGTCAAGGGCAGTGAACCGGGCGTGTTTAGTGGGTGGATTCGCGACTTTCTGTTCAAGCTTCTGAGTGGTGGGGGAGCAAGATCTGTCCATGACTCGGAAGTGCAATGGGTATCGATTGTCGAAACCACTCCAATTTTCAATTGGAAGAATGGTAGTTCATAACCGCTGAACGGTAGGTTTGGCAACGATGAAAAGCTACGTAATTTTGCTCTAGCTGGCTGGAGCTGAAGAAAAGAAGGGGCTTGAGAGGACCATGCCAAGCCAGATCATTTTTCAAATTTTATTTTTATAGGACTTAATTGGAAAACTAGTTATTGTTTTTTTAATTTGGTCCAAGTCGACCAACACCAACTTGCCTTCACCTGTCCTGATTTCCTCGATTCTGGCTCAGCCGCCACCTGCTCACAGGCACAACCGCACACCGCACACCGCACAGCTTCCCAAATCCATAAAATACCAAATTCCTTCAAATGCATAGCTGATGGCTTTTGCTAATTGATCTTCAATGTGCAGCAATTTAATTACATTTTTCTCCAATTTTCTAGTTTATCATTAACTTCAAATTGATTCATTAAATCAGGTCTATTATCGAAAAGAGAAATGATAGCAATCTGTCTGAATTGGCCTTTTGAAAAGTGATAGATAACATGATAAAACACAAGAAATATGTAAACCTCTAATTTCTGTTTGAATCTTCACTAGTATTACACATGGTTTTACCTACTTGTCTGATCTATCTATTTATTTTTTTATTTCCTAGTTGATTTTCACTCTTTCTGGTCTGATTTCTGTCTGAAAAAAAACCTTAAATATGACATATTGCCCGCCCATTTTGCATTTTTAATTTTTTACACCATGACACCATGTTTTTTCTTGTCCATTCTTCTTTCTACATACTGGATAGTCAATTTCTTTTGGTTGACTTGAGACATTATAGATATGTACTTAACTGCGAAGCCTTATCTGCAAAATTGGCAAAACAATAAGTTTTTGTATATGTTACTAACAAGAAACTTTGAGAAAACAAATTGCTAGCCTCTATATCTGTTTCCAAACTCTTGAATTTTCCAATTCTTGATGGTTAAGTGTAAGTTTTTCATGAACAACATTGGAATCGTATGTAAGGATGGAACTGTGAATGATAATTTATAAGGGGACTTTCTCTCCCTATCGTTTTTGTTTCTTATGGCATGGAGGGGTTACGAAGAAGCCTGTGGATATACTGCGTGTGGAAGTGATAAGGGCACTCAAACCCGAAAAATGGACTTGTTTGGGTTATCTAAACCCTACCTACAATCAGCCGAAATGGAGAGGGACTTCCAGCAAAGAGAATTTCCAATTAAATGAGAAATCTTAAACTCTGAGTACAACGAGAATTTTTCTAGTCTCAAGTCCTCCAATTGCATGTTTGACCCGGAAAAGATATAATCTCTCTTATTTAGAATTTTCATAAATATATAAAGAATCGTAACAGAATTAAAAAAATAGCATATATATTAGACAAGTTGGGACACAGGACAAGTTGGGGATGCAAGTGGTTGCTCTGAGTGAGGTAACTTCGGATGAAATTAAGGAAAAGGCTTGATTTGATGAAGAAGATTAATCGAAATGACCCGCAAAACAAGAAATATATAGGACAGATTGTTGTAGAAATGAAATTTAATCCTGTCAAGAAAGATAATGAGAGGTTTCTAGTGGAGCATTGGACATTAATAGATCTGCAACCAAGGGATCGGATGAGGAAAATGTGTGGAGCTGCTCTACTCACGATTACACTCCAAAATGAGCTGAGAATGTTGAAGGAAAACGTCACAGCAACCCTTATTATTTACGGGAGAGAAGAAGAAAAGCAAGTAATTAAGTAGATTTAGTTGATGACTTTAAATATAAATGATGATGAAGAAAACCCGGGGAATGAAGAATTATAGCTTGTTGTAGAAGAGGCGCCATTGAGGGAGAAGATCCACATAAAAGTATGGAGCAAAAGGAGAAGAATTAGTTTCAGATGAAAAGTTGTATGTATTTACTTTTTCCTTACTCATAAATAATTTGATTAACTTTGTCTACCTAAAGCTAATGTTATACTTATTTTAGTTCTTGATGCAGGAATTGTTGGATGATGTGGACATAAATGTAAATGACGTGGTCCAGAACGGGAGAATGAAGGAGAAGTGCCATCTCATCAAATTCCAGAATGCAGTGGGAGGTGCCTTATTTACTAGCCCATCATCTCATCTCTCATACTACTTGTAACACACATACACATACATATAATTAATTTTTTTTTTACATAACTTGTGAGTTAGTTTAATCAATATAGATACATAAGACAATAAATTAAAGGAAATTAATAATAGATGATAAAAAGACAAAAATTAGTCTTAGTTGAAAGTGGGAAGCATGTGAGGTATCAAGTGCAGCAGTAGTAGATATATAGGTTGGCGCATTAGAAAGATGTTGGAGTTGTGTTTTTGTTGGGGAAGTAGATATATTTACGGATGCGTTGGTACGGTGACACAAGCTAATACTTGAATCATCCTCCAATCCATCAATGTAACATAGTCCTTTGTTATTCTCAAGCCTAAGCTTTCTTCTCATCCTCCAAATAGTTTCTCTCCCAAACGGAATCGCTCCAGTTAGTTGATTGTCATTTAATCTCAACTCAGTAAGATGCTTCAACTCCTTCAACTTTGTTGGAATTGTACCCTGTAATTGATTTCCGTCAAGATAAATCACACGAACATTTGGTAACTCTCCCAATGACTCCGGTATCTCACCCTGTAACTTCATGTTCGATAAAACTAATGTTGTTAAACTCTTCATTCCTTCAAAGTAATCGCTAGGAATAACTGTATTTAATGGATTCCCTCTCAGGATCAATACTTGGAGAGAATTCATATTTCTCATAGATGATGCAAGTGGTAGTGCTGTCAGACGATTGTAGCTTAAATCCATCAGGATCAGGTTTTTAAGACCCTCAATTGAATCGGGCATTACCCCCGACAGACGGTTTCGACTAAAATCTATTTTCATTAAACTACTGCATCTCCCTAGGGTAGATGGAATTGAACCCATTAGCCAATTTCCACTTAAGTCTACAACATTCAAATTTGGAAGTATTAAACCGGGTACTGAACCACTTAATTTATTCCCACTCAAATCTAAGGATTTCAAACCAGTGATTCTACCCAGGGAATATGGAATTGAATCAATGAGATTATTTTTGTGCAGATCAAGGACTTTCAAATGGGTAAGATTGCCTATTTCAGTAGGAATGGAGCCCACATGTCCATTTTCTCTAAGAACCAGAGTCTGCAAACTAGACCCTAACCCACCCAGAAACTTTGGTATTGGCTGTGGATTATAACTAAAACAGCGGTAAAAAAATAGGGTCTTAATATGAGGAAGCTTGGTAATGGATTGGGAGAGATAAGAGCGGAGTGGATGGCAAATTGGGAATGCTGTGTCGTCGGACAAGGCTCCGAATGATAATGACACGACGTGGTAGACATTGTCTTTGTCCGGCATGCACTCAATGCCGTGCCATCTGCCACGACAGACATCGGGAATGTCGGTGGCCCAATCGTTTCCGGTTGCCCGCATGATGTCGTAGACGGCTTCTTGCTCGACGGGGTCAGTTCGAGCGCTGTCATTACTACCCATAGAGAATTCGGTTTGTGGGCCGTCGATGAGAGAGCCTGAATCGGACATGATGACGGTGAACGGCTGAACAATTCAAATGACGAAAAAGAGATGAAATTGATGAGGATGAATAATGTGGGAAGACCATTTTCAGAAATGAGAATGGAATCGTAGTTTGGCTTAGGCGTTGGCTCTGGGAAGGTTTTATGTTATAGTACTCACAGACAAGAGAGGTCGGTGGATGTCTTTATTGCTTCACGGGAAATGAGCGGAGTTCATCACTACCAAAAGCACATATATCTGAAATTATTTTTATTTTATTTATTTTAAAATTATTTTTATTTTATTATAATTAGTATTATGTATATCACTTAGTCAATAAATATAAATAAAAATTATATTTAACTAAAATATATTTTTTTTAATTTTCCAAAAAAGTCCATATGTATATATATGTCTCTGAAATTAGATGATTAACCAAACCAATGTATGTATTTAAATTAATGAGGTTTTTTTCTCAAATTTTCTTATACTAATATTATATTTGGAGAGACCCTTTTTTACTATAAACAAATATGTTACAGTAATTTGACAGTTTTGGGATATTTAAATTTCAATAAATTTGGAAGCTATTGACAGATATGTATTAATATGTTTTTAAAATTTTAAAACCGAATGTTATGTTTTTGTTTGTGTTCAAAGTTGAGTGAGAAGAAAGCAGGTTGGTGGAGGTCATTATGGGTGGTTCACGGGAAATGAGCGGACGTAAAAAACCACAAGGTATTATTGAATGCCACTGAATGGAAATCCGTTTCCCATTCTGGTCTGGCAAATTATAAAATAAGATTGATTCCCTTGTTTAATTTCTCTATTCCGTGCAAACAAGAAAAGGAGACTTGTGGAACAAGGGACCAAATCTCGTAATAATTTTTTGAACTCTCTATTAAATATTTTTGCATGACAAAAATAAATTAAAAAAAAAAAAAAGAGAGATTATATTAAAAACTTCAATTTCATTTTATTTGTGGGTATACATTCAAAGTGATCTAAAGGACTTTTTTTTCTCCATTCAAACGTAAAAAGGACCTTTTATTTGTTATGAATTCGGTACGTGAAAAAAGTGGAGGGAATGAGGTGACTTTTACAATTATTAAACGCAAAAGCTAAAACAGTCAAATGCCATGAGTATTTACATTTACGCATGAAGCTTTTTTTTTTTTTTTTTTAATTAACTTTTTAATGCTTGGTAATTATTTCTGTGCAGCTTTTCTTAGCTAAAAAAATTACCCTTGTTACAATTGCTTGTTAAATTATCATTTCCCAATAATAACTACTTTATGATTGCTAACTTTGTGATTATCAACAGACTTATTTAATTTTCCCAATCAAATTACAACCATCCAATAAAAAATCACAAAGAATAAAATCTCTTATAAAAGATGAATTTTAAGTCCATTCAAGATTTACAGATTCATCAATTCTATTAATATTATACTTGCAGGGTTACGTATTAGTTATATTAAGAAAATTTGTAATTTTTGACTTTTTAAAAATTAATAGATTAACAAACTTTTTATTTGTAGCAATTGGTTTAGTCGTATCTGAACTAAAAAATTAGAGTAATTGTATCAATTGTTTAGTTCTGCATATTACATACCAATACTTAGATCAAATGCATTTATTACACTAATAAAGTTTATAAAAAAAATATATACAGGACAATGTATTGAACAAAGTGACTAAATATGAAGTATCAAATATTTTTGAAAAACATTGCGCATAGATGTAACTATCAATTTGTTGTATTATTGTATATTGAACAAAACACTGCATGCCATTGTTGATGACTCAAGCAGCTTTGACAAATACATTCTCCTAAATTTATGTTCTTTTTATTAAAAAAAAAAAAATTGTCTATTTTGAAATAAAATAGTAAATCAGTTATTTTAAAAGATTAAGCCTATGCGAAAGAAGACACATCATCATCCACAAATTTGTTAGGCTAAATGTGTAAATCAAGCGCATATCCTTTATATCTTATATTTTTTTCCTAATCCATATTTGAGGTAATAGTTAAAACTTGAATCATCTTAAATATAAATTGGCTATCTTATCCTAAAATATTAAGCTAAACATAAAATATATATATAAACATATTGCTTATGTACTAACCTCCAAAATTTTTTCTTGTTTTCACGATAAAATTGTCATATTAAAATCTTTACTTAAAATATTATACAAGTCTAAACTAATAATGATTATATCTAAAAAATAGGACCGACTTCTGAATTTTGATTAACAACAATTTATGGTCAAGTAACATATAAATTTAAATATTGTAAGTACTTAACTATCATATAAAAAAAGGCACGCAAACCTTGTATGACAATTATATAGCAACCATATTAACTAGGAGGGTGATCGTTGTCAAGTGGCAACTATATAAAGTTATTAGTAAATAAAATAGTTATTAGAGTGGAAGTTACTTTATTAACAATTATAAAGTATAAATCTATTATTTTACTAATTAGGTAAACTATATATCATCATCATAACATAATTTTTTAACGATTATACACAAGAATGACAGTTTGATTTTAATTTATAATTTTTTATAAAAAAAATGATATTTCAATTATTCAGTTAAAGACTTGATTACTAACATTTATGAAGACTAGATTATTAACGTCATTTAAAAAATTATTCTCCTAAATAGTTACATAGGCGTGCCAATTTTCAATTGTACCCGGTTACACAAAAATAATTAAATAAGACTTAAAATTATTGATTCATTATAAATAAGTATCCTCAATAAAGGAAAGTCTCTCAACACAATTTTTGCATGCATGCTCTTCATACACTTTTGTGCTTCATTTATCAACTTGAGCTTTAGAATAATTCTACTATAATAAAACATACTATTGTTTTTTTAGTCATTTTATTAAATTACTTCAAATAGTATGGAGACTATTTGCAACTCAATGTCCCAAATCGATTATATTTTGGCATTCTTTATAGGACGTTAGTGGTCAATATCTATTGAGAGACTCCGAATTTAAGGTATTTATATTAACCAAATAGGATCTCTCATCTTAAAAATTACGATGGTATACAAATAAAAAACTTTTTTATTTCATATTTTAATTAAAAATAAAATATTATGTCTAATGCTTAATAGGAATTTACCTTAATTATTATTTAAAAAAAAAACAATTTTGCAAAACAGACATTGTTTATTTGAACTCAACAAAAGCTCTTTTCAATAAACTTGCTGGTAGGCAATGACTATTTGGAATTAAATAAAACTCTTTTACTATATGATACATATACATACACAAATGTCACGTGTATATATATACACACACACGTGCAGTTCTATACTAAATAATTAATTGATCTTATAAAAAAATTTATAGCCGGATAAGGAACACACTGGAATTAACCAAACTTTTTCGATATCTCCAAAGAAGAAGGGGGGGAGGGGTTGGAAGGTGGTTCTCCAGGATCTTATCATTGAAGCTTTAGAAAACATCATCAACTATTAACTACTTGATGAAAAGTGGTCATAAAAGAAGTCACTTGATAGGAATTGAAAAGTTGTTTATCAAAGAAAGAAAAAACTCTTGATGAATAGTCACCCTTAATTTAATTATTACTAGCTGTTGCAATAATTTATAAGCAGCTTTATTCAAATACTGCATGCATATCTTCTGAAAAACCTGAGCACTTTGGTTGCTGCTTCTTGTAGTAATTTTCGCAAAGGCCCAAAAGTGTTTTTCATGCATGGAATATAATTTTTTTTAAAAAAAAAATATTAAAAATAAATTGATACGATCATTTTATTTTTACCTATTTCAACCTTTTTATTTCTCTCATTTCGTAATTGTCAAAAGATAAACATTTTACCCATCAGCAGTTATTTACAAGACAAAAATCATAAAGTACTGTATAAAATTACGTTTCATATCACATGTAGGTTATAATCGTTGAGAAAGTTACTTGTAAAGCAATCATATCCTTCTTCAAGTGAAATGTCTTTTTGGGGACAACTTCAACAGATCAATAGCTTGCTTTGGCTATAGAACAGAAGGATATATTTAAAATATTTTTCAAATAAATATTAAATATATATAACAGAAGGATTTTGCTTTTTTTGTTTTAACATCCTGCACAATTAATCATTTCATGAGCTTGTAGTTTATATAACCAAAATGTTAACTTTCTTAACGTAATGGCTTTTTTTTTTTTTTTTTTTTTTGTTATCCGAAAATGTCAAAGATTGGGTGGGTTCATGAGTTACTGCACTCAGAAAATAATGTGGGTAGATTGTCGATTGTTTTGACCAAATCACGATTAAACTACTACTTCTCTTTACATTATTTACAATCACAAAACTATCAAACAATTTTTAGTTTAGTCTAAACTTAAAATAATAGATTATACAAAGTTTTAATTATGGTTTTAGACATCTAATTTTATCAATCACACTTTTAAATTTTAAGAATTAAATTGATTAATCCGTACTTTTTAAAAACATATATCAAAGAGAACAATTAACAATTAGCATATATGTATATATTGTTAAGAACAACTTTGTATTTACTCTTTTGTTTATCTTTTTCTCAAAGAGATTTGGCTTAAGTTCACTAAGTGCACATTTTTCATA